GGGGATCTCCCGGAATACCGTTTCATAGTCCCAAAGTAAATATGCAGTACAGGGGATCTCCCGAAATACTGTTCCGTAGTCCCAAAATAAATATGCAGTGCGAATGATAGAAATACAACTACATCACTAAATTCTTAAAATTAAGACTAAGTACCAGTCAGTGGATTTCCCCCACACAAAGTTAGGCAAGCCACTTATCTCGAGTCAAGCTCAATCAATCCGTAAGAATTCCCTTTCCACGAATATCCGGCTCTGAATGGCCCAAATCTAGCCAAAAGCAATTACATATCATAATTACAACAATAATAGACTAATCTAATTAACGAAATCAACATTTTAACGAAAATTCCGAAATTAACTCCAAATTCGCCCGTGGAACCCACGTCTCGGAATCGGGTAAAAGTCATAAAATACATAAGCCCGTTCACTCACGAGTCTAACCATATCAAAATTACTAAAATACGACATCAAATGGTCCTCCAAATCCACAAATCAAACTTCCAAATCTCTAGCCTCCAACTTCCAAATTTTCACCTTAAATACATACTAACTAGGTGGAAAAATACATGGCAAAGAAAGATTATTGATCAAAAATAAGCACTAGGGACTTACCTCAAGAAATGCCTCGAAAATGCTCTCAAAAAGCGCCATAAATCGAGTTTGCAAAGTCAAAAATGACAAAAATCACGAAGCCCTTCGGTTTTAACCACTGCCCAGGTATTTCCGAACCTGCGGAACCTGGGCTCGCACTTGCGGGTGCGCTTGTGCAGAAATTGTGCGCATCTGCGCAATTCACTTGACCCCTCTACCTTCGCACCTGTGATGAAAGGGCCGCATTTGCGCGTGCGCGCCTGCGGAATTCCCTTCCGCTTCTGCGGACCTTTCGCACCTGCGAAGACCCCTAATGCATCTACGGGCATCGCAGATGCAGAAAACACCTCGCACCTGCGACCCCCAGTCCTCCATTTTCTCGCTTCTGCGCCAATTGTCTCGTACCTGCGGGCAGCCTTGCGCAAGTGCGATTACAGCAGAACCAGCAAAAGCACCAGATTTTCCTAAGTCCAATTTCATTCCGTTAAGCATATGAAACACACCCGAGGCCCCCCGGGACCTCAACCAAACCTACCAATCAATCCTATAATACCATACGAACTTAGTCGAGCTCTCAAATCACATCAAACAATGTTAAAATCATGAATCAGCCTCCAATTCAAATTTAAAGAACTTGAAACTTTAAAATTCTACAACCGATGTTGAAACCTATCAAATCACATCCGATTGATCTCAAATTTTGTGCACAAGTCATAATCAATATTACGGACCTACTCCAACTTCCAGAATCGAAAAACGACCCCGATATCAAAAATTTCACTACCTGCCCAAAACTCCAAAAATTCGACTTTCGCCATTTCAAGCCTAAATGAGCTACGGACCTCCAAAACACAATCCGGACACGCCCCTAAACCCAAAATTACCTAACGGAGCTAACGGAACTGATGGAATTCCATTCCGGAGTCATCTTCACACAGTTTCGACTACGGTCCAAATTCTAAGGCTTAAGCTCTCATTTAGGGACTAAGTGTCCCAAAACACTCTTAAACTCAAAACCAATCATCCCGGCAAGTCACAATAGCAGAAATAGATATGGGGAAAGTAGTTAATAGGGGTTCAGAGCTCTAACTCTCAAAACGACCGGCCGGATCGTTACACTATATGTCCTAAGAATGCCACCGAACTAAGCCAGAACTCACACTTAGAGAATTTAGCATAAAGTCTCTCCTCTCTCAGCCTCTGTAATACAATACCTAAGTGTCGTGCATGCTCCTCTTGTTTACGTGAGTACACCAGAATATCATTAATGAATACCACGACAAATAAATTAAGATATGGCTGGAATACACTATTCATCAAAGGCATAAATGTTGCTGGGGCATTGGTTAGCCCAAAAGACATCACAAGAAATTCATAGTAGCCATAACGAGTTCTGAACACCGTCAATTTCTATAATCTTTGTACTAATTGATCTACCTCGGCACCACCAAACCTTATTTTTCTTAGCAAAATTTCTCCGAGATTGTTTCACATAAGTCAACATCCGGTCAACCTTTACAACTTAAATTCTAAACCTTGGAACCGGACCCAAATCAATTATCCCGGCAAGCCAAATAACAACTGTAATTCACAATTTGAGCAGTAAATGGGAAAACGGGATTATAATACTCAAAACGATCGGCCGAGTCATTACAATCAAGATATAGATTCACAAAAGTCTCAGGCTCCATGAAAAAGTCAGCAAGATACATGTCATCCCTGGTCTCAATTTCAATGTGATATTCACTAGTGCCACGAGCAAGAGAAGTTGCAGTAACATACCTCTCTAACATATCTCTATGAGCACTTTTATCAAATAGTTGGACTTTGCTGCTTGTAGGACCTGTAGCTTCTAAATCAGACATGCCGATTGGAGCATTTGATTGTGCGTCGACAAATATATTAGGGCAGCAGCCATGTAGCATTGCATGGAACACTTTATGTGACTGAATATCGTCCAAATCAGCTACAAAGTGAGAGAATAAGCGTTTTATCTGTGCTTTGGCACACTGTTGTAACAGAAGAATATTCCTCTGCTGCTCTGGCAAAAATTTCAGGAGACATTTCATCGAACACATGCTTGGCCTCTGAGTTACCAACTTTGAGTGCAGATGCTAACTCATAGAAGTTGGAATTATGGCCCAAATCAGCTAAAGGAGATACCTAAGCCTCAGACGAATTCAAAGTAGAGTGACTAATGTGGTTATGATATGCCAAGGATGAATCGGCCAGCCTCTTCTTCGAATCTATGGCAGGTTGTTTCCGAAATCACAAAAATATTTTCTCCTTAAAATGGTTCCAATCATAGAATTATTTGTTGTGAAAGAGCCAATCGAACCAAGCGAGGGCATCAGCTTCAAGGTAAAAATATGGAAGTGGTAACCATTTTTCCTCGAAAAAACTAAGGAATTTAAAGTAACGCTCCGCCCGATAAACCCAACCCTCTAGGTTGCCATTGCTGAATTTATCCAATATCACTGCTACCATTGGAGTCCGAATCGATGAAAGCACCAATGTAACAAACAAGAGTAGGCGACTCTCTTTCAATAGAACTGATCGATTATATTGAACATTAAACGGGAATTACAAAGCAAACACTAAATAGAGTAGGAAAGATTGCAACAGAACTAAAAAGAAAGGGGATGAGAAAGACTGATACAAAGTTGGGGATGAGAAGATACCAGAAATACCTTTGCACATAATTTGTGATAGTCTCTGAATATGATACCATGTGTTATTTAACGACAATACCAAGTGCCCTCAGCTTGAATCCCAAATTAATCTTTGTGAAGGCCTGACCCAATTGCTTCTTCTCAGCCTAAGATCTATTAGTGTGACATACTTGGTGTTATTCTTATTGGGTTGGGATTGATTCATAACAATATTTTACCGATTTGATTTGTATAATTATGTAGCTAATTACTACTCCTTCCGCTATATTTTTTTGGTACATCTCTAGAAAAATTATAATTGTAAAAGAACATAACGTTCGTCGAGCAACTCAAATGANTATATCTTAAAAAATCTATTAAATATGTAATTATTAATTTAATTATCATTATTATATAAGTATTAATTTGAAGTCGTAAAAATTTATAAATGTCAAATCGTGAATTTGCTTCTTATTTGGGAACAAAAGACAAAGAGGGGTTGCTCTAGTAGTAAGCAACATCCACTTACAACCAAGAGATTGTGAGTTCGAGTCACCCCAAGAGGAAGATAGGGAGTTCTTGGAGAAAGGGAGTCGAGGGTCTTGTTGTTGTTGTCGTTGGGAACAAAAGACAAACTATATGATGATTTGGGTGTTGAGCAGATAATTATGTCAGACTGTTAATGTCAGCACTAACAGTCATGATATAACAAATACTCTATACTCGCCTTTCCTTTGTGGTTTGTTTCAACACAACTACAATTAAGGAAAGATTTAAATTTAATAGATAAAAGAGAAGTAAAATTTAAATTTTTGAATTGTATTAAATTACATTGAGATTCTCTTCGGGAAAGTGGACATAAACTAGAAAGTATAATACTTTATTTTCTGACTTCCTTCGGAAATCTTACTCCCAGAATCATGCTATCTACTATTTATTTCGATTTCAACGTTAAGTCTTATATTTTTATTTAATTTATTTATTATTTTAGAATCAAATTAATTCGCTTGTTTATAAACCAGGCAACAAATTCAACTGTATCGTTTTACGGGTAAACAATTACCAGTATAATTGTATTTCTTATCACAAATATTTTGTACTTTTAATTTCACGTCGAAATCTGTCCAAACACACACTTATTATCTCTTGCAAATCAAAGGAGTTGAAAAGCGCCAAAATATAAAACAAGTAGAAGCTTAAAATAAAGTGAAACTAGACGGAAAAAGAAAGCTGAGACGGGTGAAAACTTAAAATAAGAAGGGGAGAGAATTGAAGAAAAAGAAAATATAAAAGAGTTCCTAATTCATGTACAGAAAACCGTGACACACTTTTCACACAATTATTTACAAGTTACAGCGAAGCGAAAGGCCTAAAATTTTGTTCCTCTGTTTCACACTGCAAGAGAAGAACCTAAACGAAAATACAAATTGATCAATAGGAGAATTCCATGCGTTGCACCCGATCCTTAAGAATCCCAGTGTACAAAGCCAATCTATTACCTGGCATACCCACAATCTCATTCCCGCAAGATTTAATACGACTTTCTGTATATTTCCTCATGTGTTCTCTTCTGTACTCCTCGCCATTTCCACTTGAATATTTAACATCAGCTGCAAAATGAACTCTCTTCTTTTTCTTCTTTGCTCTGTCCTTGTTCTTTCCAGCTGAAATTAACGAGAGAACCATAATTAGATAAATTAAACGAGAATTACCAGGTTAATTCTAAGGAAACCAACCTGAAGATAAACAAGATTTGAGAATCTGATTTTCAGGTGGAGAGTGATCGGAAAGATGGGTCGAGGAGTACTTGACCCGGAAAAGATCGAGTAGAATGACGGTGCCGGCAGAGACAGCCATAGCTGTTGCTAAAACCAAGCCTTGTGAACCCAACATACTTGACATGATCGATGGTGTTGGTTGGGGGATTAAATTGAAATTTTAAATGAAAGAGGAATATTGATGGATGGTCTAAAATGTAGCAAGAAAGTTGACTTAACTCAATATTTTATAGTACAACTTTTAAGAGTAAGAAGAAATTAGTGGGTGGTTAGGAAGTAGTTAAAGTACGAACTCCTATATGTGTAAAGCTCACAACTTATGAACAAACAAGGAAATTGGAGTTGGTGTGGATTTTTCATGTAATTTGAGGTATAAAGTAATAATAGTCGATTTTTTAAAAACCTTTCTAAAAGAGGAATTAGAGAGAAAAAGGAAAGATAAAATAGTGGATTAGTTTTTCTCCAAGTGTTGGATTTAGAATTAAGCTATTGCTTTCAGTAATGCACCGCACGGCAGGGGAAAGAGAGACGAAAGGCAGAGAATGAAAGTTAGTCAAAGTTGTTGTAATGGAAATTGCTTTATTGTTTTGGTGGTCTACACAGTCCCCACAAAGTATTGAATGAATTAAAAGAATCTAAGCTGAAGAGGAAAATTAAAGAAGTGATGAGAGTTGGAGACGTGGAAGTTCACTCTACCATTTTGCTCTTCAAGTTTTGAACTAATTTATAGTACGTACCAGCTTCTTCAAGTCAAGTACGAAAGAATCATGTACTTGTCATTAGGGGTGGGCAGGGTTTTACCTAAGCGGTGTTATAATTAATCGGGTATACGGTGACTCATAGACAAGAGAGATGGAAAGCCAAGTAGAGTAGCAGTAACACATTCAAAAATAGCAAATTGTAAAGGAGTTTAGCGAATGGTTATATAGAAATTCCTATCAGTACTTAGACGGCCATTGTGTCTGGTCTACTGGCTTGTTCCTTGTGTTTTATAGCAGGGATCGGCAGTTCGAACCCATGCAAACCGAAGCATCTCTTTTTCAATCAGTAGCAAAAGATGCTCCAAAAGATGAACTCATGCAAGCATACGATGTCGAACACCCTACCGTCAATTTGAAAGCTAGATGCTGGACCACTGGACTGAGACCTTGATGTAATAAATGGTGTCACTTTGTTATTTTATCATTATTTATTTTTATATATCCTCTACCATAAACAAATTTAGTTAAATTTTTCGACGAAGTGGTCCTAGACTGAGACCTCGATTTGATAAGTGGTGTCACTTTAGTTATTTTATCCTTATTTGTTTTTATATATCCTCTTCCATAAACAAATTTAGTTAAATTTTTTGACGAATCGGTGTTACGTGACACCGCTTAGGCCTACGTGCATCCGCCCCTGGGGTGGGCATTCGGTATTTCGATTCGATATTTAAGAACTACGGTTCTGTATTCGGTTTATCAATTATATATATCAAATACCGTACCAAAGTGGTTCGATACGGTTCGGTATTTCTTATTTGGTTCTGTACGGTATCTGTATGATTTCGGTATATCAATTTGCATGACAAATTTTCATATGAATATAAAAATTAGGAAAGGCAGCAGCGACCAGACATTAAAAAGTAAACCACATATACTCATGGCGTAAAGCTTTCGGTTTTAGTTTGTGATCCCACATTGAATCTTGAAAAGTTTTCAAAATCATGCATGTTCCAATAGTTTTTTTCTTTCTCCAACAAGTGGGTAAGCAAGAAGAGGGGTTGCTCTGATGGTAAGCAACCTCCACTTCCAACCAAGAGGTTGTGAGTTCGAGTCACCCCAAGAGCAAGGTGAGGAGTTCTTGGAGGGAAGGATGCCGAGGGTCTATTGGAAATAGCCTCGTTACCTCATGGTAGGGGTAAGGTCTGCGTACACACTATCCTCCTCAGACCCAACTAGTGAGATTATACTGGGTTGTTGTTGTTGTTGTTGTTTCTCCAACATGATTCGATAGTCAACTTAGGAACCCCGATAGAGCAGAGACATAGCAGCTAGCTCTAGCAATTAGAAAGTGTTGTGCAACTAACGAGCAACATCAAAATATTTATAATTTTAAAAGCCCATAATATTTCTAACATTTTGAATAGACCATAACAGATCTAAGTTTTAACCGACTTTAGATCAGAACAATCAAAGGATAAGCAATTAGCAATGAAATTTGCAAATAGGAAAAGGAAATAATAGAAAGTATGAATCTTGTAAGAGAAAAATGATGAGTTGCATGAGGGCTTCCCGCTAAACACCTAAACCTAGCGGAAAGATACAGCTAATGGTTGTATACTGTTGCTGCTGCCTGCGAATTGTGAGTAACGTTTAATAAAAAAGTTCGGTACCAAAATATCAATATCTTAATATCGAAGGCCGTACCGAACTTTTAAAAAATTCATACCGAATTAATACCGAAGTACCGAAGAATCGAAACCGAAGTATCGAATTAACTCGGTTCGGTCAGATTTTTCGATTTTTCGAATTTTATGCCCACCCTACTTGTCATGAGAATAACTAACAACTTGTGTCACGAGAAAAGATTTCCTATTAGATTTCACAAGAAAATTCTAGATTTTTTTAGCCAAAGTATTACAAAAATAATAAAACTCATTAATTTTAAGTGAAAAGATACTGTTTTATTTAATGCAAAAAACATCAGCACCTATTCTGCTAAAGGTATTTTATGATAGGAGCTGCGGTGTCATTTTTTTTTTTTTTTTTTTTTTTTTTTTTTGCTAATAGCTGCGGTGTCGAATATAAAGTTCTTTCTTCCCACCAGAATTTAGAAGATATTCAAAGAAAGATAAAAGAAAAATAAAAGAAACAATAAAATGGAAATGTTTGGTTCATTTGAAGGTGAGAATCGGACGAAATAGATTCTTAGATTGTTGTGCACCTTTCGTTGCATGTGATTTGATATTTTGGAAAAAAAGAATTTGAAATTTTTGATTCTCGTTTTTTGTGGATAATATTTGATGTAGTCAAATTAAATCTTCATAGTCATCCCTCTAAGCCACTAAATGTTGTTTGTTTCTATTGTACCTCTGGAATTTGAAAGTAACGGTGAACTCTACTAGAAAAGCATATTTTTAGTTGTTTTTAAAAATAATAGTCGATAAATTATATATTTTTTTGTATATATGTATTATATATAATAAAAAAAAAGTATACAGATTTTAACACTTTTCGGCTAGCGATTTCAATTAATTTTTAACAGACCGGCCAATTTTGTATTTTGCGAAAACTTTATTAACACAGTGATAGGCCCTGTCCGTGATAAAAAAAAGGAGAACACGAAAATGATAATACTAGTTCACTGATATTAATCTTCTCATTTTTACAATTAGTACGTGGTACGTTAATAATTGAAGCAAAATGCCACGATTGATTGATTGGATTAGGGAAAAACTAGAATTTGGTGATGATAGAAATTAACGTCCAATAGACACGTCTCAGTCTAAATGCTTCCTAGCAATAATGACAAGTGAGGCTCATTCAATAATAAGCCAAGTGGGCAAATAATAAACCATCTTTTGAAATTTGGCCACTTGGTTGATTATTTCTTCGCCTTTTGATATTGCATGCAATCTCACATCTACATGTCACGTCCTGCCTTAAACTTTTAGACACCTGTGGAGAGAAACTCCTAAAAGTCGCAAGATTCAGTACACCTTTTGCTTCATTACGAGGGTGTAACTTAGGTAGTAAGTGAATATTTAAAAACCGACTAAATCGATCGAATTGTATCGTGTCGAATCGATTTTAAATTTTTTTTAATAAAATTGTAGGTTCTTATATAAATTTATAACCGTACAGATAATTAGGGTAAGTTTTTTATTTTATGAAATAAACCGAAAAAATACCGAACCATACCGAATAAATTTATATGTAAAAAATATATTTATATATTAAGTTTAAAAATAATAAATCATTAAATTTTTCCCTGGGCCTTGGAATTATGAAAATGGTTACAAGCCAACAAGTAATTAAAACCAAAATCCTAATTCCTAAACCTATTATACTACCGTTTACCCACAAAATCGGATAACAATTGAATTTGTAAGTGGTTTTAAGGATACATTGATTAACTTGACACAAAACGATAAATTAAATTGTAATTGGAATAAATAATGATAAAGTAAATGCAAACCACACGAATTGAACAATCTCAGCCTTGGAAGGTTAATCACCCTTAAATTGTACGTTGTTCGATCGGTATCAAGACACACAATAATAAGAGATTAAAGAGAGTAATACTGTATTACTTTAGAATGTGTGTTACAATGTGTTTTACAAGTAACCAGACCCCCTTTATATAGTAGGGGAGTCCTACATTAGTTATAACTCTATAAAAAGTAAAAAAAAACTCTTGATTTGTTAATTGCCGGTTCCTTATTGATACGTGTCGAGATTCCCGCCGTAATATCTGACCGGTCACTAATATTTTGGTCTTCTGTTATGCTAACAATGTTTCTTCGAGGTCGTTTGAACCAAGACCGGTTCTGGAGTCACGACCTCGGTGTTATCGAAGGCAGGTGTTTGATCCCGGTTGCTAATGCGGTGGGGCTTAAGGTCGATCTTCAGTCCTTTATTGCCATGTCTCGAGCTCGGCCTATCATGTCGGATGCTAGGATATACTACAAACTTGATTTTACCCATATACAGATAGTCCCCTCATTTTTCGGAGAGTAGATGACGAGGAACCATATGAGCTCCCGATTCTCACTTCGACATACCGTGACAGAAACGACAAAATAGTTAAAATATCTCGTCGGTTTAATTTTAATGGCATTAAATGTTTATCAATTGCTGGTGGCCACTCCCAGATGTGAACCGTCGCTGGAAAACTATAAATACCCTCCTCCGGTACACATCTTTTAAAGACACCATCCGTACAAATCCAAAAAAGATACGGTTCATCCTAATAATAGTCTTGACAATCTCGTTTGAGCTTCTTCCTTTGGTGTGAAGAGAACTCATTCGGGGTGATACCACTTATAAGAAATTTTGCTAGATCCGCGAACCATGGCACCTCTTTACTTGAAATGGCTAAGAGTTGCTCATCGGGGAAGGAGTCATTGATTTCAAGGCCATCATGTGTCATCCCTCATCCTCCAAACGAGACAAGTTGTCCGCCACTTGGTTTTCACTTCATTTTCGGTATGTCAAACTCTTGCAACAAAAGCACCCATCTCATCAACCGGGCTTTGGAATCTTTCTTGCTCATAAGGTAACGAAGTGCCGCATGATCCGTGTGACCAATCACTTTTGCACCCATCAAGTACGGGCAGAACTTCTCAATAGCAAACACAATGACAAGGAGCTATTTTTCGGCCACAGTGCAATTGACTTGGGCATCATTCATGGTCTTACTAGAATAGTAAACCGGATGAAAGATCTTGCTTATACGTTGCCCCAAAACTTCTCCAACTGCCACATCACTAGCATCACACATGAGCTCAAAAGGAATGCTCCAATTCGGGGCAGTGATAATGGGAATAGTTGTCAATTTGAACTTGAGCAATTCAAATGCTCTCATGCAATTGAATAGTCGGGCTACTGCCTCTCTCAACTGTCGACAATCCTCCGTTCTGTGGCCGTGAGTGTCGTGATATTTACACATATGGTTAGGATCCCTTTGGGTTGGATCAGATTGTAGAGGTCGAGGTCATTTGGTGTCTTTGATACGTCCG